TTACATTAATGTTTGTTTATGCAATATGAAAGTTGCTGTGAAGTCATAATAGTAATTTTGATTACTATGATCATATCTTAATGTCTTTCAGGCTGGTACTGGCCTTTTCTAATTTCACAGATAAATTTTGTATCAAACATGATGCATAGCACATTAGTCTTCATTATGCTGAATGTTGTTTATGGTGACATCCACCTTGTGTCATTTCTAAAATGTCTTTAGTAGTTTGATAATTGTGTTTTTTGTGTGCAGATTTAATGCCTCCTGAGGTGTCAAAACTCCATAATGTCCAATGAATGTGTTTTTACACCTCATGAAGCATCTGCATAGACTGCACCTTATATATCCCATTGAAATGCTAGGCTGCACACATTGTTCTGTAAAACCCAGCAACAAGACAGCGTTTAAGCTGCTGCATTTTTGTTGCATCTGTAGAAGGGTCCTTATAGGGCTATCTCCTTGTACTGTACAACTTTTTGTAGTTCCAAACAAATATATATTCTTTGATAGTTCTTTATGGATAATGTTGCATACTTCAGCATGTATGGTATATGCATTTTTAAGTTCTGGTGTTAATATTGCCTATCTGCAAAACACTAGATGTAAACAATATCCAACACGGTATGCTTCACACCTTTGTACTCAACAACTGACTTCCTGTTTTAAGTTCCTCCTTGAGTGAATACAGTGCTTTCATTTCTGACAATTGTGTGGATGAAAGCAAGCACCTGCCTTGAGGAAAGCCCTGCATAAAAGGACACATCTCATTAGACAGAGAGAGAGAGAGAGAGAGAGAGAGACAGCAAACAGACGAAAACACACAGGATCTAGATCGTCACCACTCTGTCCTTGGCTCCCAGGAGAGGAGAGTCTCATGGGGGTCTCGCATCTACCTACCACAATAAACCCATAAGGTACTGCCTTTCTCCTTGTTCAGTGCCTGACAAACACTGTAAATGAAATAGTTCCTTTTGATGTTTAAGTTGGATACCTGTTATAGCATGTGTTGGTTTGACACAAAAAAATTATTACTTTTATCTTACTGAGCCGTAAGTATATCAGTAAAGTTGTTGGGCTTCTCAGCATTCATTTATAATTTCAAAACGTGTAAGGCTAGATAAAACAATATAATAAACTTGTTTATAAGAAAACTTAGTTGTTGAATATGGAAGTTTTTATGGTAAAGTTTTTGTAATACAAAAAATTCAGTTGCTGGATTGAGTTGATTTTGTAATGTTTATCTGATGTGGCTGTAACATGCAATATAGTTTATTGTAATCATATGTATTATAATATCATATTGATAAAAAAAAATTATATTGTTTGGTTCTTCTACATGTCAAATAAAATATGGAAGAAAAAATCTAGAGCAAATGATATATGTAAGTATTTCATAAGAATTCCTTGTTTTCCCACAGTAATAATATTTTGTAGTGTCACCTTAGTTGTTAGCATTACTGAATTGAGTTAGACATTTATTAGATATTCTGAGGTTTTGAACTTTTGAAGAATCCATGAAGTTTTTCCATTTGAATGAAAGATGTAGCTTTGTGGTATATTTTAGCTATCAGTGGATTTCCATCACATTGTTGAATTGTTTTTACCTTGGATTCACATTTGAGGGATTCCTCTCTTTACCAAATGGTTCTTTACTAGTGAATGGTGAACTGTGTGTAGATTGATAGTATATGGTATATGCAATATTTACTTTGCAAGAGACTGTGATGATTATGTAGATGGTACTACTACTAATAGTTGAAATAAAAAGTAATAGTAATAATAATAATAATAATAATAATAATAATAATAATAATAATAATAATAATAATAATAATAATAATAATAATAATAATAATAATAATAATACCTGAATTCTTATATTATTGCAAAATGTATTATTATATTGTTATTATTCCTATCAACATCATCCTCAGTAATATTTTTTTCTTGATTTTCTTGATTTCTTGATTATTTACATTCCCAAAGTTTCTTTAGTAAAAGAGAAGTAATGCAGTAAGTAATGCAGGTTGTGATGACACTTTGGAGACATTTTACTGCTCCTCACTGTCATGTAATGGCACACACGCTATATGTATAAACATTAAGTCATCAGTTTTAGTTTTTCATATCTGATTAATCTTTGGCAGAAAACACATTTTAACACAAGGAAGTATTTAGAGAAATGATACAAAAGAGTTTCTTTCATTATTTTATTGTCAAAATGGTAATGTCGTACAAATAGTATTTAATGGCATATGTCATAGAAAATTGAATTTGAATGGCAGATGAAAACATGCCAACCCATGAGAGTCAACGTCGGTTGTGGTATAAAGGCAAGAGAACTTTGTTCGTATATACTGTAATGTCCTGCCATGTTTTGTTAGTGTTTGAGGTAATAATGTCAAAACTCAGGGTGGTATAAAGTTGCAGTGACATCATAACTCAGGCTTGTACAAAGATGTTTTCTGTAAGACATGTAAGTATGCTATGAAAACCAGTACAAAATTTACCAAAGAACAAATGGATCAGCCATTTTCTGTGTTTTAAATCTACATCTACTTATAAATCTAGCTAATATGACAAGTCTTGTGACAAAACCTTGAGTTATGTTAATGACCCTTCACTTAAACCTCATCCATACATTTCATTTATCTTAACATACAGCCCTCCGCACCAAACACTGGACTGTGGTGTGCATTGATATATAAAAAGGTTCTTTCTGATTATTAATACCTTAGCCAGAAGTAGATTGGGGATAGATTCTGGAGAGGAGGCCTAATTTTACAGCATAATACTCTTCTTGTCTTCACCACACACCTTTTCAACATCCTGTTTTCATCTCTGGTAGACACACTGCTTACAGTAAATCATCGATAGGTACTGATCCTGAGTTTTCTCAAGAGGAAATGAGAAATAACACTGAAAGTCTACATATCATTTGATTAAATAAAGTATATATCTATATATTTATATATATGACACAACAGGGTTATAAACTTAAGTAACATCCAGCAGCAGCAACAGGGAGATACACTAAGGAAATCATAGGTCACACTTCTTCATCACCTCCGGCCACTGTGCCCTTGCTGATCACCCCAACCTTGCACCAAGACAGGTCCCGGTGAAGCTGTTAGGATGCAGAGCAACAGCAACTTGATAACATGGCCGTGGACAAAAAACTGTGTTCCCAAACCTCCACCTGGGCAGAGAGATAACAAATCCTAAAGAGACTGAAAACCTAAGTGTAAAACGTATAGATCATCTCCTCATAGCTTCGACAGTTGGCAAGATGAACAACCTCCTTGCCAATCCCTTAAGAGTAAGTGTCATCTGCTAAGTATTTGTCTAATGTCGCCTCTGGCTGCGGGCCATTGCACCAAGTGTGTGAGAGAGAGAGTATAAAGCAATGTTCTGAATAATAATGATATAGGTGGAAGCACATCTTACCTCACTTGCGGTCATAAGCTGAGAAACATGCGGCGCTATGATACAGATCACTTATATACTAATTTCTTGTTCACTCGTGGAAATCAGGGTAATATCAGTAGTCTATCAAAGGTCAATCATCACAATGTTCATTTAGTAAGACTTCCAAAAGGAAACAAAACATCTAAAGAAAAATTGTTAAACAATGATTTCACCTGTATGACCTGAATAAAGTAATATCTTAATTGTTGATATTTATTACTGAAGGAAATGATATCTTATGGAATGATAACTTGTCGTGTTTCTAAACCCATCTCTATCTCTACCTTCAATTAAACCTTTTCCATAGTGAACGATTTTAAACCATGTTTATTCATCCAGAAGTGTAGAACATGTTATTAACAATGATTAATGATGGTGAAAATATGAAATACTTGACATCTATTAAATGAAGATCACAGGAAACAATTAATAATTCAAAAATAGCCTACAACACACGATATACTCCACAGAAGAACCCAAACGAATTAACATCATAAATATAACAGATACACCTTCTTAACATAATGTTAAAGAGCACAAGAAGTGCTCAGCCACTCTCCATTTGTCATTACACATCTAACAGCAGAATACTGTGGTAAAGTCATTTTCCATTATCTTACAAATCCGCTTTGCTTCCTTGTCTTAACCTAGTTTCAAAATACTATAAAACAACTTTTTACTTGCACTGACTTCAAATGGATGGAATTTCCAGTGTATGACAAATTGGCAATTGGACAATGGAAATCAAACCTTGGTATTCATATACATGTGGTAATCTGTTCCTAATAATTCACCTTTTAAGAGTAAATGCATGCCCCTCTAGGAATTCCCTTCAACAAAATCTCCCTTCTAAAGCTCTCTTTCAAAAAGATTCATGTCTAAAGTTAACTGGTTTTAAGTATTGACTTTAAATCATGGTTTTATAACGGGAGAAAGAAGGTTGAATAGTAATTTCATATATTTTTTTTTTTTGTTCTTTTCTAAGACTAATGATTAAGTACTTTCTGGTTTCCTTGGCAAGACCACCAGGGCCTGGCAGGTAACCAGGGCTGTGGAGTCGGGAGTCGGAAGGAATTTGGTGCAGCTGGAGTCGGAGTCGGTATTAATGTCCCGACTCCGACCTCAACGTAAATCGCAAAAATCGCACTTTTTAAACATGTCGCACACTTTATTTCCACTAGAGAAAATGAGAAATCATATCATTTTCATTTTGTCACGGTCCTATTTGAAGATTTTGTAAAGCATGATGGATATTTTTTTTCAAGAATATACAATAAAAAGGCCACAATAGCATAGCTATAACCAATTAACTCAAACCTTTAAGGACATGGGATTAAAGGTAGCCTATATTTTTTTTTATGGAATCCATTTTTTAAAAATAATTATACCAAGGAATCTGAGTCGGAGTCGGGTGTTTTGAGTACCAACTCCACAGCCCTGCAAGTAACTGCGGATATTTTTTTTATTAATGTAGAAGCAGGCGGGTAACCCTCCCCCCCCATATGCCCCACCACCGCCACCACCACCACCAGGGTACATACCAAGCCGCTGGACGCTTGAATTTACAATATATGAGAAAAGCTGAGGATCATTGTACCATCATCAAGATCATGATAATCCCATGATCAATTTTTACATGCTACAATGTTAACACACTGTTCCTACAACACAGTCTTTAGTCAGAAGCACACTAGTGGTCTAGTAGATTAGCTTTCAAAAAGTATTAAAATATGTTGCACGGATTTACAATGTACAGCTGTGGCACAGTTTAGCTACCACATGTTAGGTTTACAAGTATGGAGGTGAGAATATGTGATGAGATCGTTCACAATGAGCACTGGATGAGAATTCCTTTCATGACGTCTCTCTCCTATTTGTAGAACATGTAAATGAGCTGTATAGAAATACAACCTAAGGCTCAAAGAAACAAGAAAAAAAATATCGTAATTCAGTGTCAGACAGTATGGTGGGTGTCGTTCCATCCTTCAGTAGAGCCAAAGTGTTTTCTAAATCTGGGCCTAAACGAGCCCTCTCTGGGAACTTGGTCTCTCTCCCTATTCTTGAGCAGGACAAACTTACAAAAATCAATTTACGTAAAAATATTATCACAAAGCAAAGGTGTTAATGACTAAGGTTAAGATTAGTTTCGGCAGACAGACTCTGCGTTGATGGGATGTATATCCTCGTGTTATAAATAAATACTCATTAAATATTTATCCATTAGAGTATTACAGCACGTCACCTTATATGCTCTTAAATAAATCAACAATCGTATCAACTACTATTCTCCCTTCTCATTTACGCATTGACTTTTTTTTTATCGAAATGCATATGATTAAATGATCAAATTTCCTGTCACAACTTGTCAACTTTGTAAATGAGTAAATGTAAAAAGTTGTTGGCACAAAATATAGCAATAGTTCTGGCGACACATCAGACAAACGAATCACTCGCAGTAGCACTTGCATTTACACTCGTCGCACAAGTATTATCAAGTGGTAGCAGTGTGGCAGTAATGGTATCGGGTATATACTTTATCAAACGTACCAATACTATACCCTTGAGGCTAGTATCCTCTGAGTTCTATACCCAGTCTTTAGGTTGGCACCGGTTTGAGTGTGAGGAATGAGTGGAGTGAAGGCTTACGGTGTCCGCGTGCTCCGTGGCGGGCAGGATGGAGGCGACACTGCCAGAGGGACTGGCAGTAATGAGGGAAAGCTTTTCCCGGAGACGCTCAGGGACCGAGGAATAGGAGTTGGTCTTGGAGGATAGAGGCGAGACGGAGGAACGTCGCCTCTCCATGTCCAAAGTACGTCGGTTCTGGTTCTTTTCGGGGCACGTGAACCTGCGCTCTTTAGATGGGCTGTTGGGCTTTTGGGATTTCTCGGGGCTGCTGAACCTTCTTCTCTTGTCCGGACTGAGACCCTCGTCCAACACAGAGCGCTTTCTCTTGTCCGGACTCACTGGTGGTCGGTTGTAAGCTTCCATACTTATAGAACGACGATACTTACTCGGCCCTAAGTCAAAGTCCAGCCCTTCCGGACTGACTGATTTCGTTACCCTGAGTGAGCTGTGTGTGCGGGCTCCTCGCGGTGAACTAATGAATGCCTCATTTACGAATCCCCTGAGAGGACTGGCCCTGTTGCTGTCGCTCGTCAGGAGTCCTCTCATTGATCCATTTCTAACAGGACCCATCTGCGGGCTGCTGGTAGGTCCTAAGATTGCGTTGACTGAGCTTAACGAACCATTTAATGATCCCATTAAAGAGCCATTAACCACTGGCTTAGCAGTTTTCTCCTCATCAGCCAGGAATTTATTGATGAGCCAATTTCCTTCACTCATCTTCCGATGTTTATCTGGACTTCTCGCTTTATATTTCTGGTTCTTGTCTGGGCTGGAAGATCTTCGGATTTTGTCTGGGCTGACTGAATGATTTCGGGAGCGTCTTCGTTCGTCTTCCAGACTGGCCCGTTTGTTGGGACTCCGGGACCTTCTGTTCTTGTCTGGCGACTCCGCGCCGTGGCCGTTCGACCTGTGCTTCTTGTCGGGGCTTCGACTCCGGTGATGGTTTTTCGAACTCTTGGACTTCGACTTCTTATCATTACTACTCTTGGACTTCCTCTTGTCTGGACTTTTGCTCTTGTGTTTATCTGGACTCAACGATCTTGGTCTGAACGTCTTGAAGCTAATGATGGAAAATCTGCTGGAGAGCCTGTCTTTGACCCTGCTCTCGCTGGTGGCGCCGGCCCCCTCCTTGGCTCCGGGGCCGCTCTTCTCGGACTCCGTGGGCGAGGTGACGGCGCCGTCCGCGCGCCTGCTGGGCTTCTTGCCGGGGCGGCTCAGCTGGCTCTTGGCGGCCCGCTTGGCTTTTGTGGCCGCCCGCCGCACTTCGTTCACTTTTCTCTTGAAGGGCAGGTTGGCCCTCACGACCGTTGGGTGTACGTGCACGTGGTTGGCTGATGAATCGGCAGTGCCATTGGCTGTGGTGCCATTAGCCGTTGTGCCGTTGGCTGTGGCACCGTTGGACGTGGCTCCGTTCGCAGGCATGGTGTAATGCGTTGCCCCAGAGTTTTTATGCATGATTGTCAGTTTCTTCAGCTTCATCTTCTCCGGCGTCTTTCCGAATACTTTGACTGTTGCCACCTGAAAGAAAACGAAGGATTAGTTCAGTTTCAAAACACGTGGCAGTCCTTGGGAAGCTACAGCCGATTCTAAGTACGGCAGATAAAGGAGGAAGGAATGGTAGTATAAACAAAGATCTTTAAGGCTGACTTAATACAGACATTCTAGAAGAAAGAAAAAGGGTCCATGAAAAGGAGACCTGATACTTGTTCTGCATGTGGGAAAATCTGGGGAGAATATCAACAACATTATCATACATCCCTACTAAATACAGATCATACTCTCGTGATAAATATACCGTAGATATACGAATATACGTACTCGACCAATAACTCCCAATGGGCAGTATACAACAAAAAACAACAATAAAAAAAAATAAAATAAAACAAAAAATCAAACCAAATTTACAAAATTGCTCGTATTCCCTTTCTACCAATCTACGTGTTCAACCAACACCTCGGTTTACAAAAAAAAACAAAAACAAAAGAAAGTCTACACTCAAGCTACATCAACTCTGGACACGATCTTGAATGCAGACAAACCTTCGTCTTCACTCGAGCATTCGTTATCTCTTTTCGGGTCTCGGTCAATGTCAGTCTCCACGGTACAGTCACTAGCATTGTCAGGGTTTGACTTCCTCCTCTGACACATGCAACGACACCAACATAACACATGCAGCGTGCAGGAAAGTAAGAAAAGAGTGCAACGTAAATTTAAAAGGGGGAGGCGAGAATGACATGCCATTTTTATCGTACAGCGAGCAACAATTGAAGCGTTCTGTTATTCATCTGCTTAAAAAAAAAACACGGAAAATAAGAGGGAAAAACGACACTCACTGCTGCTCAGTTCTTGGGAGAAGCCTGAGGGTCGTCTCAATACCACCACTTCACATGTACAAGTCAGAGCCTAAGGTATACGTGTAATGCGCGAAATGGAGCTTTGTTTGCTCTAGTTTACCACAATCTAAATTGCATCATGCATTTAAGGGCAACATATACTGTGTACACTGTAAACTCACACTCACACTCACACTCTCACACACACACACACACACACACACACACACACACACACACACACACACACACACACACACACACACACACACACACACACACGTACACACGCACACACGTGTACATATACACGCGCACACACACAAACACATATACACACGTATACTACACACAAGCGCGCGCGCACACACACACACACACGCACGCACGCGCACACACACACACACACACACACACACACACACACACACACACACACACACACACACACACACACACACACATATACACACACACACACACACACACACACACACACACACACACACACACACACACACACACACACATATACACACACACACACACACACACACACACACACACATATATATATATATATATATATAAACACACACACACATACACACACACATACACACACACACACACACACACACACACACACACACACACACACACATACATACACACATACACACACACACACACACACACACACACACACACATATATATATATATATATATATATATATATATATATATATATATATATATATATATATATTTATTTATATAAAAACACACCCACACATGCATATGTATGTATATATACATATATATATACATACATACATACATACATATATACACCCAAACATACTTGAGTGTGTGTGTGTGTGGGAGTGAGTGTGTGTGTGTGTGTGTGTGTGTGTGTGTGTGTGTGTGTGTGTGTGTGTGTGTGTGTGTGTGTGTGTGTGTGTGTGTGTGTGTGTGTGTGTGTGTGTGTGTGTCCAACCGCAATTTGACTGTCTAGCTGAATGCTTCAAAGGCATCTTCACTTTTCTCCAAGCAGCTTTAAGAAGAATTACCAATACCAGGAGCACACTTTATCTGTCCACCAATATTGAGCTCTAGAGCATATAAAAGCGAAGTCCCCGCCGCTTGGAGATTTTTGAAGACATTTCTGTAGCATGAGCGCCACCAGCCAGCCAGCAAGGTCGTACTGACTGCCCAAAGTCGTGGGAGTCGTAGTCCTTTCATCCCTCTGCGCCCTCCCCTCCCCCCTTCCCTTTCGCACCGCAGCTCAGACACACCGAAGTGCAAGTAAGCTACACCTCTCAGCTTCTGTGTTCCGCGTGTTCTCGTTTTGGAGCGCTGTTTGCGAATGTCAAGGTGGTTTTGAAAAGTTCGTATGACTTCTTTTTTTTTTTTTTTTTTTTTTGGTCTACGGCATGCAGATATCAAAACATCACATTTAGCAGGTGTTCATTTCACGGCGCCTACAAGGCCCAAAGAAGAAGTGTGAAAACTGGAAGAAGGGTCGTATTAACTGCAGGTAAATATTGACATTAAAGTTACGCGACTGAGGCCGCACAATCGGGTCTCTCAGCTGAGTGAGTGGCATTGTCCGCCGATGGCTTTTCGCGCTTCTGGGGGGGCGTGTGTTACGATACAGCGGTGCAATTGATTTTTGGTAAGTGTTCATTTTGAGTTTCTTTCTCTGATGACGTGGTGGCACGAAGCATTGGGCGTGAGAAAATGAGAAAGAGAGAGAGAGAAAGAGAGAGAGAGAGACAGCGACGTTGCTGGGTGGGCTGGTGCCAAGGGTTGCGGGCCAGACAGAACCCTACCCATGAGGGGCGTCGCCACTTGGCTCTCACACTCAGGCGAGGCCCGGTGTTCCTGGTAGTAGTAGGAAGAGTAGGAGAAGGAGGGCTCAAGGTCCACCTTGTAAGTTGGATCCATGGTGCAGATACCAATCAAGGGCATCTGGAAAGGCGGATGCTTGAGAACAAAACAAGACTCGAGTTCAAAGGCTGAAGGGTAACAAAGAAAAGGGGGAAAGGACACTGGAGTTTTCTGAAAGAATGCTTAGAAAAAAAGAAAGAGTTGATTAATGCAAGGTTATCATTTAGGCCGTGAGCGAGGACAATAGAACGAGAGGAGTGGCTCAGAGAACCTCTCGGAAAACGAGGACGAAGGACAACAAGAAACGAACAGGTGGACTTGCTCGGCTCTCGAAACAACACGCGGAGACACTACATTCTAGGAGGGACAAACGGTCACTCTGAGGCCGCAACACTCTAAAGGTATTTGATTCAGAGGGATACAGGTATTTTAAACAAGTAACGTTAATAACAGAAGCAATATTGTGAAGGCTTCAGATCGGTTAGAGAAATCTATCTTGAGCAAGCTGTCTATCTCTTGATTAGGGCTGAAGTTAGTGTCCGGATTTCACCATGCCAACATGCACAAGGAAGTTAAGGATTGTACTGAATATCATTTTAACTTCAGACACACTGAAGGAAAAGAGATTAGTACGTAAAGTAAACACATTTTGAGACATGCTCCCCTTTTGTCTGTCTTCTCATGCAACTTTCAGTTTAGAACATCAATATTTTTGCATATAAGTATAAACTAAACCACCCTCTTTTAATAATAGCTAAAACGCCTCACATGCTCTATACTTTGGGTTAGAAAGTTCAAGAGGTTAGCTTTGTACATCAAACAGCAATAATGAGAATATGTTTTTAAAAATTCACTTGCCTGTTCTATGCATTTCAAGGGGGAGGGGCTATTTTCTACTCCAGCTAGTGGTATTCCATAAGAGTGATTTAAAACCTGATAAGAAATACTCTCATACATACACACACACACTGTCGAAGACGCACACACCCGCGCAAACATCCACCCACCCACGGACATCCAAAACCAACCCAACCACACCCACCTACCCACACCTACCCACAACCTACACGCCCACCCACGCCCACAAAACCCCCTCTCACTGTACTCACCAATAGCACCAGGACGGCCAGCACGACGATGAGGACGGCATACCAGTGTTTGACAATCCACCGCTGGAGGTTCGCTAAGGACTCGTCGCTTAGCAAGAGCTTCCGTAGCGTTGCCAAAGGCCCTGAGGGATCAACCTGTTGGGAGGAGGGAAAAAGGATTTTTTTTTTGTTATATGAGTCTAAACGTTATTTTTCGACTAACATTCGCAGCACGATGTTTTTAAGTCGTAATATACATCACTCACTGCCAAACTGTCTAGAACCTTCCGACTCTCACAAAAGGAATTCATTAATCATGATTCAAATAGTTTTATTCTTAAAACAAAAACAAAACAAAATAAAAGCAAGTAAGTGACATCCTCAAAACAATATAAATGACACACGGACGTACCTCACGGCATTTATTGAAGACGTCGCAGTAGCCCTTGTACTCGTTGCAAGGAGTGCCCGCTTTGGCGTGCATGTCGGGGATGTCGTACGGAGGCACATTCCACTCGAAGGAAGACCTGGGAAGAATCACAACTAATCAGTAAAATGCAGTAGTGGGAGAGCTATATGGGGACCAGTAAAGAATGCCCATAATGATGATATTATTACAGGCACAGCTAACACTAATACTACTATTTTCACTATTACGACAGTAATTACTACTACTGCTTGTACTAACAATACTAATACTTCTACTGCTACAGAAAATACTGCTGCTCCTACAACTATAACTAACACTACTAGGACTACGACATGTAAAATGAAAGTAAAAAATATCACATCCAGAGAAAAAAGCTCAAGAGGAAAAATAGAATAAATGAAACATAAATACTAAAGAGAAACAAGACAACAAAACGCAAGCCAAAATAGTAATAACATGAGAGACAGACAGAATCCATAGAGATGAAAAAAAACAGCGATAAGAAAGAAAAAAACCCGCAGTTGCTCACAGGCATTGTTGGTTCTCCCCGGGAAGCTTGCAACAGAGCTCGCAAGACTTAGTGACCGGATCTCCGTGATTCCTCTTGCACTGGCAGGACTCCAGCCCGTAAGCCAGGCAGATGGATCCCGTGCATTCCCCCTTGTAGCACACGAACTCTTCGTTGCAGATCGTCTGTGGGAAAAAAAACGTGGTTTGGATCGTTATTTTACTCTTTTCATATGCGGTCGTGTGCGTAAAGAATTAGTTGGAATGATGCTTCGGAACAACACGCGAACTTTCTAAGACCAAAAGAGGAAGGCACTCAGCCTCGTGTCTCCCTCCGAGAGTACCTTATTGGGCTTGTTGGTGGAGGGCGGGCACTGCGGGACACGGCCGTTGCAGTAGGACGAGTCGCGGCAACCGTTGTCGTCTCGGCACTTGTCGCCCTTCTTCAGGTGGCAGTTCTGCGTGCAGCACGGACCCTGAGGAGAAGCACACAGGGTCAAGACATGCACGCTTAACGTGGGGTATTCTTACATTCAGTGGGCGCTTTCGTTTCGTGCCGGGATCCGACTTGGTAGACAAAGTCTTCCGATTTACTTACTGTTAGCTCTGCATTGCCTGCAGACTTGTGATATTGCAATAATCAAATAAAACTATTACGGTAAAACAATACAATAGCGCGCAGGCGGCACCCACCTGCGAGGGCGAGCAGATCTTGTTGGGCCTGAGGGTGCAGGGTGTCTCGTCCTTCCCCGGACTGGACTTCATGGGGAAGCAGCACGCCTCCTCGCAGTCCTCCTCCCAGCCGCAGTCGCACTCCTCGCCCTTCTCCACCACCCCGTTGCCGCAGATGGCCGCTTGGGGCGCTGTGAAGCAGCCCTTGACGTCGCGCGCCTTCGAGTTGAGGACGCTGTTGATCTGCTGCAGCGAGCACGGCGAGAACTTGTTATTGTTTCTTTTGTCTCCTGAAGTCGCTCTGAAAAATAGAGAAAGTGAATAAGCTACCAATAACACCCTTTACTACGACAAAAACAGATTTCCATATCTCGTCTCGTATTTCTCTAAAGAACTATTCTTCCTCCTCGCAGCCAGACCGTCCTACGACGACCTCCCATTCCCGTGCCTCCATCTCCCTCTCCTCACCTGGCGAACATGATGTAGTTCCCGTCTTCGCCGCCAGGGGTGCAGCGCTTGTTGGACTCGGGGTCGTGCGGACTGCCGAAGTTGTGGCCGATCTCGTGCGCCAGAGTCACGTGGCTCACCGCCGGAGGCACGTGCTTGCCGTAGTTCAGGAGCGTCACGATGCCCGTGTTGAGGCTCTGCAAGATGGTGGATGTTAGGGTTTTTGCCTTACCTTCCCTCTTTTAGCTTACATGGTTTATCAAATCCATTCTTATATCTGGCAAGTCCCAGCGGTTTACACAAAGGATACAACACTAAACAACCATCCACTGTTCTCTCTCTCTCTCTCTTTCTCTCTCTCTCTCTCTCTCTCTCTCTCTCTCTCTCTCTCTCTCTCTCTCTCTCTCTCTCTCTCTCTCTCTCTCTCTCTCTCTCTCTCTCTCTCTCACTCTCACTCTCACTCTCACTCTCACTCTCACTCTCACTCTCACTCTCACTCTCACTCTCACTCTCACTCTCACTCTCACGCTCACTCTCACGCTCACTCTCTCTCTTTCTCTGCCTCACTCTCCCTCACATGAATACACTCATCACCACACACTTCCTTGACGAGGGAACCGCATTACCTTGAGACTCCCTCGGTAGTGGCCGTTCTTCTCGCACACTCCTCCGGCGTTCTTCAGATCGCCCGTCCACGCTAAGCCCAGGGTTCCTCCTTCGAAATCCCTGTCGCGATTAAGGGAATATTTCTGGTTACAATTATCTTAGCATTGTCATTATTGATGTCCTTTGATGTCATATTCGTCATTATTATCATTAAATGGTTAATTTTCATTAGGTTTATTATACAGTCCTGATCTAAAATCAACCTACAATAAAGCAGTCCAGATATCATACACAAAAATACATGATATTAATAACCGAATTTGATGATAGACATAAGGCCTTAAAATAATCATATCAAAATTGCTTATACACGGTTTTACAGTGTATACGTATAATCATATACATATATATATATCCTCCTGCTCTTCTCCTCGTCTCTTCTTCCATCCCTCCTTCCCTTCTTCCCTTCTTCCCACTCTCCCTTCCCCCTCCTCCTCCTCCTCCTTCTACTCCTCTCCCTTCCCCTCCCCTCCCTCTCTCCTCCCCTCCCCCTTCCCTCCTTTCCTTCCCTCCCTCTCCCTCTCTCCTCCCTCTCCCTCTCCTTCCATACCCCTCCCTCTCTCCTTCCCTTCCCTCCCTCTCCTCTTCCCTCTCTCCTTCCCTTCCCTTCCCTCCCCTCCCCCTTCCCTCTCTCCTCCCCTTCCCTACTTCCCCCCTCCCACTCTCCCTTCCCCCTCCCCCTCCCTCCTTCCTCCTCTCCCCTCCACCTTCCCCTCCCTCTCCCCCTCCCCCTCCATCCACCTCCGAGTCTCACCTGTACGTAAACATGTAGGCGAGGCAGAAGGCGTCGTAGTCCTCCTCGGAGAAGAGCTCCAGGAACTTCTCGACGCCGTAGTTGCCCGGGAAGCGATAGGTCGGGTCCTTCAGGGCCTCCGGCGTGTGGATCTTGATTCTCTTGATCATGAAGCCGATCTCGTCTGCCTTGCTGTCCAGGTCGAAGTCTGCGGGGGAGGCAGGGGGTGATAGGGGTGATAGTGATGGTGATAATGCTAGTGGTGATGGTGATGATGATGATGATGATAATGATAGTGGTGATGATAATGATAGTGATGATAATTACAATGATAATGATAATAATAATACCAATAATAACGAAAATATATAATAATAACAATACTACTACTAATAATAACAATAACAGTACTGCCAACAACAATCCAACAAGGACAACAAACACAGCACCAATGACATAACACGAATAACCATTAAAAACAACAAAACTGACACCAGCGCCTCCCCACCCCCCCACCCCCCACCCCAATTTCATTTGTGAAAGTGCATGGATCACACTTTTCCACGCCTGACTCACTCTCTCTCTCTCTCTCTCTCTCTCTCTCTCTCTCTCTCTCTCTCTCTCTCTCTCTCTCTCTCTCTCTCTCTCTCTCTCTCTCTCTCTCTCTCTCTCCCCCCTTAACGCCGGTGACCCTTCCTCTGCAACTGGACCTGTGACCTCTGACTGACAGCTCAACACGGGCGTCACCGGAGGGCTGGGCGAGAGGGGAGGGGGGGGGGTAGAAAGGGAGGCAGTAGGAGAGGGAATGAGGGAATTGGGGAGAAGGAGAGGGAAAGAGAGGGGAAAGGGTGGGAGGAGATGGAAGGAAGGCATTGAGGAGAAGGAGAAGGAAGGAGGGAATAAGAGAGAAGGAGGGAATGAGGGAACTGGGGAGAAGGAGAGGGAAAGAGGGAGAAAGAGAGGGGGGAAGGGTAGGAGGAGAGGGAAGGAAGGCATTGGGGAGAGGGAGAGGGAATGAGAGAATGAGAGAAGGAGGGAATGAGGGAAGAGAGGAAAGGAAGGAATGAGGGAGAAGGAGAGAGAAGGAAGAAATTGGGGGGGAAGGAGATGGAATGAGGGAGGGGGAGGGGAGACGAGGAGAAGGAAAGGGAAGGAAGAAGGGAAGGAAGGGAGAGGGTGAGAAAGGGAGGGAGGGAGGGAGGGAGGGAGGGAAGGAAGGGAGAGGGAGAGAAAGGGAGGGAGGGAGGGAGGGAGGGAGGGAGGGAGGGAGGGAGGGAAGGAGGGAGGGAGGTAGGGAAGGAGGGAAGGAGGGAGGGAGGGAGAGGGAGATAGAGGGAGAGGGGGGGGGAGAGGGAGAGGGAGAGGGAGAGGGAGAGAGGGAGGGAGGGAGGGAGGGAGAGAGAGAGAGAGAGAGAGAGAGAGAGAGAGAGAGAGAGAGAGAGAGAGAGAGAGAGAGAGAGAGAGAGAGAGAGAGAGAGCGAGAGAGAGAGACCGAGAGAGCATCCTATGAAGTGCAGTAAATAAAAGGCCAGATATCTATTGAAATGAAGCTTAAAAAGGCCATTGTAAGTCGACGCTCGTGAAACTTTTCGCTGCGATGTGATTAATTTTTATAACGAAATCTTTCCATCTGCACAAAACATTTCTAATTACGGAACAAACCTGATAAATGATGTGATGCATATTATTTTTCTATTCTCTAATTATGAACTTGTCGATAGCTATTTTAAAAGTTTATATAAGTATGCCGGCAGACTCATACAGTCATTTATACTATTAAAAGTGATGAACTACAATATGGCTTTCTCTCCTTTAATGAGACAAAGTTAAATCCAATGCATCCTATTTTTGGCCTTTTAAATACTTAACGAGCGAGACAGCCTGCTAAGTACACGGGAACTCAAGTTTCTTATTGATCGTTATCAAGTTGTGTTTGAAATTTACTTTTACGTACACTACGCGCACACTGGTTTATACAGTTACATGAATACACACACACACACACACACACACACACACACACACACACACACACACATAAACAAAGGTGCTCTCTCTCTGTCTCTCTGTCTCTCTGTCTCTCTGTCTCTGTCTCTCTCTCTCTCTCTCTCTCTCTCTCTCTCTCTCTCTCTCTCTCTCTCTCTCTCTCTCTCTCTCTCTCTCTCTCTCTCTCTCTCTCTCTGTTTATGTGTGTGTGTGTGTGTGTGTGTGTGTGTGTGTGTGTGTGTGTGTGTGTGTGTGTGTGTGTGTGTGTGTGTGTGTGTGTGTGTGTGTGTGTGTATGTGTGTGTGTGTGTGTGTGTGTGTGTGTGTGTGTGTGTGTGTGTGTGTGTGTGTGTGTGTGTGTGTGTGTGTGTGTGTGTGTGTACATATATGTATACCTATATATATGTTTGTACGTATCTAATCCGGAAGATCGTGTTCTATAGTATGCTACCTACAATACACACAGTTGTGTAAGCGGATCCGGATTGTATTTTTCACATTCAAGACCCATGATACAATAGGGAAAAAAATGCTCATCCCCGGTTATTTTCCCTAATACAAAGTTCCGGCTGAACTCGGGTATTGTTTTTCATCTAGGTACACAAAACGCACAAAGTAAAAAAAAAATAAAATAAAAAATAAATAAAATAAAATAAAATACAAAAAAAGGAACACGAGCAATTATCAAGTCTCTGAATAAAACTGCTCTTACGCAAAAAAAAAGTCTTTTAGGAAACAGCAAAAAAATCGCCAGAAATAAAAGCCACAACCGCCTACAACATCCGGGTCTTTGTGGTGGCGAGTGTCGGGAAAGAAAGGCTCCGCCCACGTATTCGCACACGGTCTTGCACGTGTGTCATTATGTTTTTTTTTTTTCTTGATTTAGCTTTGTTTCTCTCTTCTATTTTCTCTCTCTTTCTCATTTTCTTTCTCTTCGTTTTTCTTTCTCTCTCTCTCTCTGTTCGTCACTCTCGTTCTTTCTTTCCTTCTCTCTGTTTGTCTTTTTTTTCTTTCTTTCTCTCTCTCTCTCTCTCTCTCTCTCTCTCTCTCTCTCTCTCTCTCTCTCTCTCTCTCTCCCTCTCTCCTACGGTCCCTCTTCTACATGCACTCCTCGCCCCTCTCCCTTTTCCTTCATAACACATTTGATTGAAAAGAACACTGACATAGTTAGTTTGATGTACATTCCACCAACCAATCAATCTATCAATCTACCTGCCTATCTATCAGCCTACTTATCTATCTATCTATTTATCTATTTATCTATCTATCTATCTATCTATCTATCCGTTTATCCACCTCTCTCTCTATCTACATATTTGTTTATCCATCTCTCTCTCTCTATCCATCTACCTATTTATCCACCTCTCCATCTATCTGTTTATCCACCTCTCTCTCTATCTACCTATCTGTTTATCCATATCTTTATCTATCTATCGATCCACCTCTCCATCTATCTGTTTATCCATCCACCTCTCCATCTGTCCATCCACCTCCCCATCTATCTATCCATCCACCTCTCCATCTATCCGTTTATCCACCTCCCCATCTATCTATCCACCTCCCCATCTATCTGTTTATCCATCCACCTCTCCATCTATCCACTTATCCACCTCTCTCTCTCTCCACAAAACCGTGCTTCCGCCCCACCCACCTGTGACCTTGTAGATGTTGTTGACCCGCTGGACGTGGCGCGTGATGGCCTCGATGCACGCCTCCTCCGACCCGATTTTCTCGTAGAAGAGGTGGTCCGCCTGCAGGTACAGCATGCACGTGGTCTTCTTCGGGTCGACGCCGGAGCTGTTGGTGAGGCGGGAGGTTTAGGGAGGGCTGAGGGGGGGGGGGGGTTAGGTCCGTAGAGTATGGTTTGAATTAGGTCTGTTTTTTAGGTCTGTAGAGTATGGTTTGAATTAGGTCTGTTTTTTTAGGTCTGTAGAGTATGGTTTGAATTAGGTCTGTTTTTTAGGTCTGTAGAGAATGGTTTGGTTTAGGTCTGTAGAGTATTTGTTTTATTTGGGTCTGTGATGTATGGTTTGGTTTAGGACTGAGGAGAATGGTTTTGTTTAGGTCTGTAGAGTATGGTTTGATTTGGGTCTATAAAGTATGGATTTATTTAGGTCTATAAAGTATGGTTTTATTTAGGTCTCTAAAGTATGGATTTATTTAGGTCTCTAAAGTATGGTTTTATTTAGGTCTATAAAGTATGGTTTTATTTAGGTCTATAAAGTATGGTTTTATTTAGGTCTATAAAGTATGGTTTTATTTAGGTCTATAAAGTATGGTTTTATTTAGGTCTATAAAGTATGGTTTTATTTAGGTCTATAAGAAAGAATGGTTTAAATTAGATTTGTAGCGTAGTTTTATTTAGGTCTGTAGAGTATAGTTTCATTTAGGTCTACAAAGTTTGCTTTTATTTAGGTCTGTAGAATAAGACTTTGCAAAATTTAATAACGAACATTTGCAACTTCAGAAATGGCGAGTCGGCTCTAATTAAGGAAGAGAGTTGCCTGCCTAGAACAGAAATCAAAATGAACTCAGGTAAGAAATAAAGTTCAACTCCACAGTCATATTACATTAATTTCAATATAAAGATAGAACGAGATACGGGGTTGTCATGTTCTAGGATATTTACATGTACGATTGAACTAGAATTTCTCCATTTGCATTGTGCACAGTGATTTAATGAATGTTAAACTGCTGCCACGTGTCGCAGTGGAAATGCAAAAATGCCGTACACACTGCGCATAAATGTTTGACAGTTAACGAAAGTATACATGCTCTGGGACATGCAACATTCAGATTGGGCATTGCATACCTGTGTAGAAACTTGCATGCTTACCTGCATGCATACATAAATACACACACACACACACACACATATATATGCATATATATGTATATGTGTGTGTGTGTGTGTGTGTGTGTGTGTGTGTGTGTGTGTGTGTGTGTGTGTGTGTGTGTGTGTGTGTGTGTGTGTGTGTGTGTGTGTATGTGTGTGTACTTATACAGAAACACATGCGCGAGCATGTTTATGAGTGTTTACATGTATGCGTGCGCGCGCGCAAGGAAATTCGCTGTCCTCACCGTTTCTTCCTCGCACTTCTCCTGGGCCAAGGGTGACCGAAGTCTGGAAGCTCTTGCGAAGCGCCTTCCG